AGTGGATAAAGAAGATGTGGCACATATATACAATGGAATATTACTCGGCCATAAAAAAGAATGAAATAATGCCATTTGCAGCAACATGGATGGACCTAGAGACGATCGTACCGAGTGAAGTACGTCATAGAAAGGCAAATGTCATATGATATCACTTATATGTGGAATCTAAAAAATGACACAAATGAACTTATTTACAAAACAGAAACAGACCCACAGACGTAGAAAACAAACTTACGGTTACCAATGGGGAAAGGGGAGGGAGGGATAAATTACGAGTTTGGGATTAACACATACATACTATTATATATAAATAGATAAGCAACAAGGACCTACTATATAGCACAGGGAACTATATTCAATATCTTGTAATAACCTATAATGGAAAAGAATCTGAAAAATGTATACATATGTATAACTGATTCACTTTGCTGTACACCTGAAACTAACACGATACTGTAAATCAACTCTACTCCAATTAAAAAAAACACTACTGAGAAAAGACAAGTTTTATTTGCCCAAACTTGTCTTCACATCAGACAGACGTGGTGCAGTTTTACACTGTATCCCGATTACTTGCTGCATCTCTTCATCACACCTTGGATGGGAAGTACTAATTTCTGTCTCCCTGGTACCTGGGTGGGTGTCTAACGCCTGCACCATGCTCCACGAAAGCCTTGCGTTGGGTTAAATTCTGCAGTACTGTTAATGAGCCAGACCAACGTGGTGGGTATGGGGGCGAGCCGGAGAAGGCAAGGCGAGAGGCGAGAAGACGCACAACCATCAAGAACAGGGTAGCCTCAGCAAGGAAAAGAGAAGCCCAGATAACCACGCAGATTCCCTCCATCTTTTTTATGCCGTTCATCCCCAGTGAGCCTGCTTCTCATCACCCCACCTCCATCTCCTGCCTGGTCCAAGACGCTGGACATCTGTCCCTGGACAACTCCAACATCCAGGACCTGCCACCAATCCCTCCTGCATCACTGTTGTCCACACAGCAGTCAGACTGATCCTGTTTGTACCCAGGTCAGGTTTCGCAACTGACCTTCCCCGAGAAGCAGAGCCTGGGTTGAGGGTTGAACGCAGGGAGCTCCAGTAGTGGGATGGGGAGGTCACGCAAGGAAGGAAAGCAGCCAAGGAGGGGGGAATTATCAGGCCAGCCACACCCAGGTGACTGGAGCGTAATATCATGGTGATGCTCTGAGAAGCACCTTAAAACACCTCCCTCGGGTGATCCGGGCTGAGAGGTGTGTGAGTTTGGGTATTTATACCCTGTGCTCAGTAGTTACCAGCGGGGCTATGTGCCTTTCGCAGATTTGCAGCTTGTCTCTCCCATGGGCCCCCTGTGTTCCAGCAAGCAGGGTAGGTATCCAACAAGAGTCAGGGCTTGCATTGGAAGAGAGGTCGCTGTTCATGGAAAAGGCAAGGAATTCCCAGCAGTTGTGGGTAGACCACCACCACCATCGGCTCCATCCGAGAAAAACCTCCAGTGGCTCCCATCTCACTCATGATAAACTCCAAAATCCAAGTAAGGCAACAAGACCTGCCCCGTCCCTCTGGCCTCAGCCTCCCGCACACACACTGCTCGAGCTGCATCCCTCCGTGCTGGACCATCGCTGTTCTACCGTCCACACAGTCTGCTCCTGGCTGGGGCACAGCTGTCCTTTCCCTTCCTCACCTCAGCCAGGTCTCTGGACAAATGTCACCCCGCATAGAAACCCTCTCTGGCCACAATGCTGCAAGGGCCCGTCTGGTCAGTCTGTCCTTCCCCGCTGGGCCTCACAACACTCAACGACCATGTTGTAAAAAAACACACCGTGCGTTTCATCTACTTGCATCTCTGCTCACTGTCTGCTTCTCCCCCCCCGGGATGGACATTAAACAGGGACTTGACCTGGCTTGTTCACTGGAGCCAGAACGGTAGCCAGCACACAGAACCCCTTGACAGATAAATACTTGTTGAAATACTACATGAAAGAGGGTAAACCATGGAAGGAGGAAGAGAAGGTCTGTGGGACCTCAGGACTTATGAGGTTGATTCTGCCATGCACCGTCTTTGATTTGGAGGCAGGTGGGTTTACACCCTTTGTTCCTGGAACCGTGGTCACCAGAAGAGGATTTTGGGGTCTTTCAGGTAAACAGGAGAAGCTCTGCCTCTGATCAGTGGAGGGACCTTGATTACTTAATCTCTCTAAAGTTCCTTAACCTGTTAAATGGGAGATACATCATCCCTTTGTCATCAGAGCATTGTAAGCATTTACTGGAGCCACTGGTACTCACTGGGCGTGTAATCCACACTGGTTTTTCACTCTGTTATCACCCTCCGTTAGCTGCTCATCTCTGCGACTTAGGAGGGGCTGGGGGAGTAGTTTTCTCATGTTGCTTTTTGCCAACTACAGATTGGCCCTTGCCGTCACCTCTACAAGGATTAAATCAAGAGCCACTGCAGCTGCTGACCTTCAACGCCCTCTGAAAGGAGCTCAGGGTGGAGACCAGGAATGAGGAACTCTGTGCTCTGGGAAAAACTGGCGGGACAGGTCTTCAGATAGAGATTTTCAGGAGACGGTTTTATGAGCCCAATGCTTGCACCTCCTCGTAACCACAAAAGCACTAAAATCCTTCCTGGTGACTTCTGTTCCGTATGGCTAGCAGTAACCTGCACGAGACTAGCAGAAACCTTCTGCAAAAGTATGTGCTTGATTGCATGCACTCCCCTTCACCGAAATCCCATATATATATATACTGACCTCCCCCCTCCCCTGCTACCTCTTTGGAGCAGTTTCTCAGAGCTGTCTGAAATGCTGTCTCCCAGGCTATAGTCCTCATTTTGCCCCCAATAAAACTTAACTCACACGTTGTGCTTTTTTTTTTTTCCCCAAGTCGACACTTTCTAAGAGGAATGTTGGCGATTGGGGGTGGAGCGCACAAAGCAAGCAGGGTTTGTGCCCGCTGCAGGGGATGACGGCTTCTCTCCTTGCTTTGTGTGCTGAATATCACGCAGCCAACGTCTGGGCGTGGGTCCAGCCGGATCCAGGCAAGGACCCCTCCCTTTCCTTAGCTTCTTAGTGCTTAACACATAAGGCGTCGGGCAGCTCTGGAGCCATCAGAAATCACAGCACAGTTTCCCACCAACTGTGAGGGCCCGGCGTGGCTTTCATGAGTGGCGGCTTGCAAACCACACAAGAAACTCTTCCAATGTCCGAACACACCCCCAAGCCTCCTGCTGGAAGTACTTCCCGGTAAACACGGAGAAATCTGTATCCTGACTTTTCTCCTATTTCTCATCACAAGCTTTTTTTTTTTTTTTTTTTGCGGTACACGGGCCTCTCATTGTTCTGGCCTCTCCCGTTGCGGAGCACAGGCTCCGGACGCGCAGGCTCAGCGGCCATGGCTCACGGGCCCAGCCGCTCCGCGGCATGTGGGATCTTCCTGGACCGGGGCACGAACCCGCGTCCCCTGCATCAGCCGGCGGACTCTCAACCACTGCGCCACCAGGGAAGCCCTTTCCTTATTCTTAATGTCTGAGCTGTGGCACTTTTCCAGGGTTGGAATTACCCGTGAGGGATAATTTCGTGTTTCAGCTTGACTAGTCATGGGGCATCCGGATATCTGGTTAAACATCATTCTGGGTGTGTGATACCAAAAGGCGCATTTCTCCCATCCCAGGGGTCAGTGGGCAGGGCTCCAGGGTAAAGAAAAAGACATTACATTGGAAATGGTTCCAAATGCAAGAATCTGCCCCTTTTGGGGACATGTGATAATTAATCACCGTCCTCTTAATGTCCTGCTTTCACTACACTGGAACGAAAAGGAATAAGCTTTCTGACCTCACCTGTCTGGGGAAAGTTGTGTATGATAAATATTTCAAAGTACACTGAGACAGGTTGTCCAATGAGTAGATGTAAAACATACTTTTACTAAAGGTACTTTGTTATGCTTTTAATAACGTATAACAGACAAAGTATATTAGTGCGTGTGTGTATGTCTGTATAAGTCTGTGTGTGTGTGTGTGGTAAAGGCACTGGATGTTTATATACGTATGTGTGTGTTATACACACAGAAACGCACCTACAACTAACGATTCCACACGTCATGTCAGTGCATAAATCCAAGCCCAGTAGTCACTGAGATGTTCTTGGCATTAAAAGGTCTCAGACACGGTCATGTTACCGAATGTATCATGGAGCTGCTATGGACTTTCGTTTTTCCATCTGAAAATGGAGGTCCCCAAAGTCCCTTCACGGTCAGACCACCTGTCATCCTGGTGGAAACCAGAGAGGGGATCTAAGTCATAAGCGACCTGTATCAGGAAGGTGCAAACTCCCTCAGGAGCCGGCCCTGCAGGACTCACAGCGCCGGGTAGAGCAAACGAGACCAGGCTCACCTTGTAGAGAGCACACAGGGGAGGGGGTGGGAGGTCTGCGACCCAGCTGCTTGCAAACACCGGGTACTGAATTGTGATGCAGACGGGTCTCCCATGAGGTTACAAAACGAGCTCAACTCCCACGGATGCTGTAACATCCTCAGGCTGCTAAGCTCCCCGGGGCTCCCTGGCTGCGGTCACTGTGGTCAGGAGAGCTGTCCAGGGGTGAAGGAAGAACTGCAAAGCTGCACTGAGAGCCCATCTGGATGAGAGCCCACTCCTAATGAGGAAAGGCTTTCTCGTGGGCTCTCCCTGCCTCTCGAGAAGGAGAGGAATGCATTTGGTGGCATCGGTTTAACCATTTTCTCAATGGTTTGTCACAATCCTTGGATTCAAACATCTCTTTCATAGCAAACATAAACTGTAGACTTTTCTCCTGGACACATGTGTGTCATCCGTAATCTTGAAGGTGCGTGTCTTTGGAGGTGATTTCTTGCCCCATTTCTCCCCGGACGTGATGGCCCTCAGCGGTGGAGAATTCTCTGAAGACAGGAAGCATGCCTCCTTTTGTGTAGTTTTGCGTTTTTATTTTTATTTTTTAGAAAGTGTGTTTTAATTCCTTATCTCTCCTAAGCAGGGCCAAGCACCGAAGATGCAGGGGTGAGACTGTGCCTGGTACCAGCTGTGCGAGCTTGGGCAGGTCACTCCGCCTCTCAGAGGCCGGGACGGGTCACACAAAGGCACGGCGAGGGCCCGCGGAGCTCAGCCGGTGAGAACTCCTATGGCTGCAGCCGACCCCCGGCACAGCTTACACGCGGGGCTGTTGTTAGTGATGACGGCGTGGAGACCACTGCACGACCACAATGAGTACCGCGACTAGTGCTAGTGTAAGTGCTACTCCAACTATTGCATTTACTACTACGACTGCGGCACTTATCACTACGACAACTACTACTACCGTTACTGCTGCTGCGGCTGTTGGCTATGGCTGCAATGACTGCAGCAACCAGGACTGGCCTAAGTACTACCGCAACCGTGAGGTTTACTACTACAACCGTACTGTTTACTGCTACAAACGCTCCTACCACTACAGTGACTACAGCAATCTGCACAACCGCTACGACTGTTACTCTTACAAGTGCAGCAATTCCAGTGACTACAACGACGACTGCCACCGCTGCAGCTGCTACTATCACAGCTGCTATCATTTTTGCTACTGCTACACCCACTGCTGTTACAGTCGGTACTGCTACAGCTCTTGCTGTCACAGCTCTTCTTAGTACAACTAAGTACAACTACAGCAGTTGCTCCTGCTATAAAAGGTACCCCTCCCACAACCGCCACTACGACTGTTACATTTACTGCCACAGTCACAACAATTACTACAACTACTATGATTACAAATTATCACCAGTGCTGTAACTGTTACAGCACTTAGTACTGGTGTAACGTCTACTACAGCTCTTAGGGTTACTATCGCAACCGGAACACTTACTACTACCACAACTGCTACTACCGCTGCCGCTACAATCGTGACTACTGCGACAGTGACTACAGCAATTGGCGCTACTACGACTGCTACTGCTATCACAAGCACAGCAATTCTGACGACGACTGCTGGTACAATTATCGCTATGGCTACAGCTACTGCTGGGACAGCAAATGGTACCACTAGGACTACTACCGCTGCTACTGTTACTATCACGACTACTGCAGTTATTGCTACAGCTACAGTGACTGCCACAACCGTTAGTATCACAACTCCTGTTACGACCACAACTACAACAGTTGCTCGTGCTACAAAAACTACTATTATTACAACCACCGCCACGGTCATTACCACTGCTCCAACGACAGCGATTACATTTAGTGCTACTACCACCGTCACGACAGCTGTTGTGTCTATGACTACAGTTCTAACATTCCCAATACTACTGCTGTCACAAACACCTTTAATTACTACTAGTGCGACAGTGACAATGACTGCAACGATCAGCGGTACTACAATTACTACTGCAACTGTTACATTTACTGCTACAATTATAACAATTACCAGTGCCAGTGTTCCTACTATTACAGCTGTCGCTGCGGCTACAACTACGATTACTACAACATCTAGTTCTAGGACAAAGATTACGGCTAGACCGAGTGCTATGACTACTGCTAAACTGCTTCTGTAATTATTCCTCCTCCTCTTCCTGCAACTATAGGTACTACTTCAAATACTACTACAACTAGTTTTACGAGGATCGCAGCTGCAACTTCTGTAACAACTGCCAATACTGCTATAACTAGCGTTGCCACCACAATGGCTACAACGATTGCTCCTACAACAATTACCGCCCCTACTGTTACTACTGCTACTATGACTGCTACTCCTACTCCAGTCATTGCTACAGCAACAACTACTACTGCTATTGTTGCTGTTACTGTGAAAGAAAAACCAGAGCAGGACAGAGAAAATGGTAAGAACAGACTTGATTCAGGACTCCTGCAATAGAGCAAAGAGAGCTCAGTACAGAGCCAGACTCAACTGCAAAGGCAGCACGGGCAAGTGGGGGTTTACAGCCACGGAGCAGGTGAGGGTCAGTGGATGGAAAACTACTAACAGGAAAATTAGGGGTGAGGGGATTCTGGGTAAACTGACCCCACAGGATTCCTGCTGAAGGCAGGGAAAGGTGACCAGACGTCACCTGGGGGGTGGGGCGTGCAGGATGAGGCACCTGACCAGACATGGAGATGACCAGATATGAAGGGGGTGGGTTCTGGTTAAACCGACTAAGCATGGCTCTTGCTAAAATTGGACAATGCAGAAATGTACACAGAAGTCCAGAAATCAGACCTCACTGAAGAATTTAGGGGAGCCTGATATTACAGTCTGGTTGAGGAGACAATTTTTGTCAACACAACGACTACTAACATAGCTTCTGCCATTAAGAGGAGCTCCTACTGCTTCTCGGTGGAAGACCCTCAAGTCAGATACCAGGGAGGTGAGAACCTCGGCTGCTACACAGCCTTCTGTGACCCCTTCCCTGGGCACTTCCCAGCAGAACCCAGATGACTCTCCACCAGGGGTTCTGGGTATTTCTTCCCTAGAAGGAATTTCTGCCCTCCATCTCTCAAATTCTAGACCTTAGGGGTTTTCCAATAGATGGTGACCACGTTTGGAAATTAACCATTGGCCCCAACACTTAGATACAAGTCATTTCCTTTTCCTGCGCCTGATACTGTCTGAATTAGCATCCAGACTCTTCCACGTTTACAAACTGTGTGACCTTGACGCTGACTCAAGCGTTGTGCCTCAGTTTTCTCATTTATAAACATCGGCCAGAAGGCTGTCTTCCTTCAAGGGCCGTAGTGAAGATGCAGCAAGTTAAGACATGCCCTGTGCCCTGGGCAGGGCTTAAATCCTAGATATCGTGGTCGAGTATCTGACTGTGTTCTGTTCTCATTTTGTACCTGACTCTCACATATAATTCATGTGCAGCAGAGACTCCACGGACTGGCTGAATTGCTCTTGACCCAGCTATGACTCAGACCCAAATGGGCCTCAGGTGGCCCTGCCGTATGGTACCCTCCCCTCCTGGTTCTGAGTCCCAGTTGGACCCGAGAAAGTATGTCACAGGGAAATTCTAAGTTGAATCCCTGTCTCGGAAGACCCACTGCAGGAGACGGTCACCATGATGAATATGGCAGGGGATTACCTACCTCATCCCCTCAACGCCTGTAGGTCAAGGTCAGTGTTAAGCATCATATTTTCTACTAAGCAGCCCATGGATACACACACCGTTTACTGACACGCACAAGGGCACTCACCAGGGACTGAGTCAACGATTCTACACATGGCACGGGAGTTCGTCTCTGTGGATTTGGACCATCCCACTTCCATTTTCTGCGTATTCAATAGGGTCTTCCATAGAGTCGAGCGACTCTCCTGAGTTTCTGAAATGATGAAAAGGAAAAAAACATTTCAGCAGATTCATGGATGCCTGGTTCTTAAAATATCCCGTCTTAGATAGATCTCCTTCCCATACAATGGCAACTTTTTCTTTGTAGCACATACCAGTGGAGGATTTTAGCTAGTACTTTAATTCTCAGAAAGGTTTTCAATTCCAAATTTTCATGTGGGAAGACTTGTCCCCCTCTTTAAGGAGCACTAATCTACAGAAGAAAGGATCAAACACATGACAATCAGCTCATGTTGATTCTGTCCCTCAGAGGAGACTATGCAAATTATTTAGTCATCGTCAGAAAATCCTATTAAAGATATTTTATCCCTGTTCCACGGCTTGATAGATTTGAAGACAAGGATGACTTGGCTGTGACCTGATTTTTGAAAAACTTTTGAAAACCATCATCTGTCTTGCTTTCTGGTGTTTGATGTCTTTTTGAAGAGTGTGGGTCAAGAGCCACCCCCTCTTACACTTTCTAACTGCTCTGGAGGCAAATAATTCGCCTAACACAAAAAATGTTCGATTTAGGGGATAAATCTATTCGGCTGCAGGATTCATTCGTTTACTTAGAAAGTGGTTTCCCCTCCACCACCTAAGTCTGCAGCACTGCACGGTTACCGAGTAGAATATAGTTAATTGTATTAACAGTATTGACAATTAACACTACTTTGGGAGCAACAGATAATTCTATAATGGTTTCACTGTGGAATTTTTTTTTTTTTTTTTTTTTTGGCGGTACGTGGGCCTCTCACTGTTGTGGCCTCTCCCATTGCGGAGCACAGGCTCCGGACGCAGGCTCAGTGGCCATGGCTCACGGGCCCAGCCGCTCTGCGGCATGTGGGATCTTCCCGGACCGGGGCACGAACCCGTGTCCCCCACATCGGCAGGCGGACTCTCAACCACTGCGCCACCAGGGAAGCCCTGGAATTTTTAATAATGACATTTTTCCCCTCATCAGTGCTTGGAGGTCCAGTAACATTGTGTCATTTCTTGTGGCTGAGATGAAATGAAGCCAAACCAGTACTGGCTCTTCTGTTATTTTTATCTTTCCATGAGCACTTGTAGAGTATTCTTTATCTTGTTTGACAATGCTACCAGGACATGTCTAGAATTGGTTTTCTTTCAAATTTTCACTGAGAAGTCAGTATGTAGTCATTTTTCTATTTCTTTGGCTTAAAACATTTACCTTCTATCCTTTCTATAATTAGTGCTTCTGGTCCGTCTATCCCATATTCCTTTGTAGGAAATCCTTTTTCACAGATTGGCTTTGGCGATTCTTCTTAATGTCTCAAAATTGATCTTTTTATTTTATCTTTTTTCCCCTGAAGCATTTTAAACTTTCCTCTGCATGCTGGGAAGATTTTTTTCCTCGTCAGTTTTCTACTTCACCCAAATTTGATTTCTCACAGTGCAAAGTGCCTGCATCAGTGCTTTAAACTCAGCAATCATGTTTTTCTGTTGCATGCAAACCATTTTACCTCAGTTTATTTCTTAGGATCAAATACTCCAGTTTCCTCTGAATCTCATAAATCTTTTGAATCTCTTTTTTTTTTTTTTTTTCAGAACGCGGGCCTCTCACTGCTGCGGCCTCTCCCGCTGCGGAGCACAGGCTCCGGACGTGCAGGCTCAGTGGCCATGGCTCACGGGCCCAGCCGCTCGGCGGCATGTGGGATCTTCCCGGACCGGGGCACGAACCCACGTCCCCTGCATCGGCAGGCGGACCCTCAACCACTGCGCCACCAGGGAAGCCCTGAATCTCATTTTTTTTACTACAATCTTTTCTTTTTTTTATTGAAGTATAGTTGATTTACAATGTTGTGTTTCAGGTGTACATCAAAGTGATTCAGTTATACATACATATTTATTCTTTTTCAGATTCTTTTCCCTTATAGGTTATTACAAGACATTGAATATAATTCCCTGTGCTATACAGTAGGCCCTTGTTTATTTTATATATAGTAGTGTGTAGCTAATCTCAAACTACTAATTTATCCCTCCCCCACTTTTTCCTTCTTTTTCAATTACTCTGGTTTGTATTTTAGTTGGTTTTATACATAGCAATATGTCCAGCTAAACTCCTGTGATTCTGGTATAGGAGTGCCACCAGCTCCTGTTTTTTGTTTGTTTGTTTGTTTTTTTGCGGTACGCGGGCCTCTCACCGTTGTGGTCTCTCCCGTTGCGGAGCACAGGCTCCGGATGCGCAGGCCCAGCAGCCATGGCTCACGGGCCCAGCCACTCCGTGGCATGTGGGATCCTCCCGGACCAGGGCACGAACCCGTGTCCCCTGCATCGGCAGGCGGACTCTCAACCACTGTGCCACCAGGGAAGCCCCAGCTCCTGTTTTTTTTAGACATGACATTGATTTCTCCCTCTCTGAACCCCTATTAGTCATTTTAATTGGAGTTTGGACATGTAGGAGTAAGTCACTCTTGATAAGATTCTGCTCTGTGGGTCAGCCTTGAGAGATGGAGAGCTCCTCAGGGGAGGAGAAGGTGCAAGACATCCTGGGAGGAGGAGATTCTGCTTGTAGGGATGGGAGGCAGGTGAGAACGGTCATCCCCTCTCTCATCCACCTATAACACATTTCACTTCTTTGTGAGGTAGGTCCTGGGAGGTGTGGACAGCCTCCCATTGGAAACTCTCCCTGCTCCCAGGGAACATCCATTGTACTAGGAGGGATACACGGTGACCAGAAAAAAGAAATGAAGAACTAAAGAATCTGATATGGGGACTACCCCAGTGGCGCCGTGGTTAAGAATCCACCTGCCAATGCAGGGGACACGGGTTCGAGCCCTGGTCCGAGAAGATCCCTTACGCCTCGGAGAAACTAAGCCCGTGTGCCACAACTACTGAGCCTGTGCTCTAGAGCCCGCGAGCTACAACTACTGAGCCCACGTGCCACAACTACTGAAGCCTGCATGCCTAGAGCCTGTGCTCCGCAACAAGAGAAGCCACCGCAATGAGAAGCCCATGCACCGCAACGAAGAAACGAAGAGTAGCCCCCTCTCGACACAACTAGAGAAAGCCCATGCACAGCAACGAACACCCAACGCAACCTAAATAAATAAATAAAATAAAATTTAAAAAATTAAAAAAAAAAGAATCTGATATGTGTCTTGAGGAAGTAAACAGATGGTGGGAGAGGTCCCTGTGAATGGAAAAATCAAAGCAAGTCTCTCTGAGGGGGTGACATTCATCTTGAAGCCCAAGAAAGAATGAACACCCAGGAAAGGAGCATAGGAGGCCATTAAGGACCAGTGGGTTAAAGAACAGAAAGAAGCTTGGTGCACCTGAAATGAGTAGGGCAGGTGAGAGAGTGGGCTGAGATGGAGAGACGAGGCCCCAGAAGATCACGCCGGGTCTTGTAGGATCCGGTGGGGAGATGGAGAGTTTAGAGTCTGTGTCATGGAGGTGAGGCTGTGCAGTTGGAGGTGAGGCTGTGCAGCTGGAGACGCAGCTGCCTGGAGTATGAGTTGGAGAATGGTGACAAAAGGTAGGATGCTTAGGGGACTAAGGCTGTGGTCCAGGTTCATGATGTGTCTGGGTCTGGGCTGGTGGCTGCCATGATGGGGATAATTGGACATGTCTGTCATGGATAGAATTAGCAAAGCCTAAAAATGTATTAAATATGGGGAAGGAGGAAGAATCAAGCTTCCCTTTTGGTTTGAGCAACTGAACGATGCTATTTACAAGGATGAGTTGTATGGACTAAATTGTGTCCCTCACCCAAAATTCCTCTGTTGAAGCCCTGCCCCCCAGCGGGATGGTGTTAGGAGGTGGGTGTTTGGGAGGTGATTAGAGGTAGATGAGATCTTGAGGGTGGAGCCCCCATGGTGGGATTACTGACCTTATAAGAGGAGAAAGAGACCAGATCTCTCTCTCCACCATGTGAGGACACAGCAAGAAGGATGCCATGTGTAAGCCAGGAAGAGAGCCTCGCCAGGAACTGAATCTGCCCACACCATGATCTTGGACATCTAGCTTCCAGAACTGTGAGAAAATAAATTCCTTTTGTTTAAGCTACCCACCCTCTGGCATCTTGTTATGGCATCTTGAGCTAAGACATTGAGGTGTGGTGGGCTTTTGTTGGTTTTGCCTTATCCAAAGGCAGTGCAGCTGCCTTTCTTTTGGTGAGTGACCCTATTTCTCTCTGTGAAGGGTTCTTCCACCATTAATGATATTAGTCATGGAAGATTTATAGTTGATGACTCAAGTCTTCTGAGCATCTTTTGGTCAGAAAATGGGATTGGGACCATCCGTCCCACTTAAGTTTGTCTAAATCTATTAAAATAATCACACTGATGTGTTGGTGACCATTGGTGCCTGACGTTTCTCTTATATCCAGAAAACAGGAAGGGACAAGGACAAGGGCCAATCACAGATGTGATCAGACAGGGAGATGATTTGTCACCAGGAGACCCCACCAGATGGGAAGATGGGAGACTGGTTGAAGGTATCTATTTGTCATCTGGGTTCATCTTGGGAGCCACCTGCGTCTGAAGAATTGTCATATTTGACTGTCAAAGAGTCAACTACCAGGATCCACCTGGGAGGTCATCATCCCTTACCCAAAAGAGTGATGCTTGCTTTGTGGACAGAATGTGTTGTAAAATTTCCCCAATATTCCTCTACTGTGAAATATTCCTGCCCCGAGACAGACTAATGATCTCAGTGGGGCTTAACCCTGAATCATTTTCTCCAGCCCTGTGAGATCGAGACACGACACTGTGCAGGTGAAATAATTATCCTTCCGCACTCACATGCCATCTTGTTATGTCGACTACGCACGCTCATACGTGCTGCATGATTCAGGGAGATCCACATGATGAGCATCTTAGATGTTTCACCTACTGGCTATTGGGCTGAAATCCCCCTGAGTGGAGTAGATCATACTTGATATTTTAACTAGTTGTTAAGGTCTGTATTTTCACTGGAAGGTAGAGCTTCTCTTCCAACTTCGTTCTTGTGGGCAGAATTCGCCTTCTTTTTAGATGTGGTACATATATACAATGGAATATTACTCAGCCATAAAAAGAATGAAATAATGCCACTGGCAGCAACATGGATGGACCTAGAGATGATCAGACTAGGTGAAGTAAGCGAGACAAATACCATATCATATTGCTTCTATGTGGAATCCTAACCAAAAAAATGATAGAAATGAACTTATGTACAAAACAGAAATAAACCCAGAGACATGGAAAACAAACTTATGGTTACCAAAGGGGAATGGGTGGGGGAGGGATAAATCAGGAGTTTGGGATTAACAGATACACACTACTGTATATAAAATAACCAACAAGAACCTACTGTAGAGCACAGGGAACTCCACTTAATATTCTGTAATAACCCACATGGGAAAAAGAATCTGAAAAAGAATAGATACACATATATGTTTACCTGCATCGCTTTGCTGTACACCTGAAACTAATACAACGTTGTAAATCAACTGTACTTCAATTAAGAAAATAAAAACAACAACAAACAATTAAAAAAAAGAATTCCTCTACTTTTAAAGGGCTTCTCTGATTAGGTCAGGCCCACCCGGGATAATCTCCTTCTGATGAACTCAAGTTAACCCAT